TAGTTAATTTTCAACATGCTGAATTACTGCTCGTTTGCTTTTGCCGCCATCTTTCGACTCTTGTGCTCCTGCAAAATCGGAGAGTATACTCGCGTTAGTCGTGTTTGACAGTCACACGAGACGCCAACTCTCTTCATTCGATTTATCAGGAGTAAAACCCGTGTAACTCGGGTTGCTTAATCGAATGCATCCTTGCGTATCATCACGAACATTGTTAATGACCTTCACTTGAAATTGTAATTGCGAATGCAGGTTGGCTATATCATTCATACAGAGCTTACAATTTCTTCAACTTACGTAATTCATAACAATACCTCGATTTAAAGCAATACTTTTGTGAATGAGGTAAACGACTAAAAATAGAAATGCCTATTAGCCCGACCATCCGCTGTTATCTGAAGTTTCGTCTCCGAGAAAAAGACCTCCTTGGGCAGCCGGGCGAGCTATGATTTCCAACTCTGCTAAGATACATATTTCTATGTATCGGTTTTTAATTTCAATGCATGGCATTCCATGGTTACTAAATATAGAATCTTTTGTGAAAATCTTTCAAAACACTACTCCTCCCACAGTTTTAGTCCGATTTCAGTATAATTGTGAACACTAGTAGACTACACTAAGATAACATTATTCTGTACACGGTTTTTGATTTTGATGAGCAGTGTTGCAATGCTTATTAAAAGTAGAATTTCTGGAAAAAATTCTTTGAAAGCACATCTCCTCCTAGTGTTTAAAGGTCATACGAAATGGTTCTAAACACTGGGATTTTACTTTTTAAATATAAAGATTGGTATGCAATAATGTCAAATTACGATTAGTACCAAAAAACTGGGAAGTTGTGCAGTTGATAAAAATTTTACCTGCTATTCGTTCTTGATTTTGTGGTTTTATGGCGTCCTAAAGACCCACTGATGAAAATAACGTATTAGACTTGGTGTATTTTACCGTATTTTATCGAAATAGTTTTAGCCATTTTTATGGATATAAATGTGATTACCGTATATTGTCAGGAAGTTTTTGGAAGTGCCCCCTCAACTGTCAACTGAAAATGTATGGCTATGCCCCCCCCCCCCCAACTGAATTTGCTTCCTACGGGCCTGAAAGAGAGCTTTTCATTAAAGAATGATCTGGTGAATACCTCGTAGATATCAACAATTTTCACCTCCAAATATGATTATTTATTTTAAACTAATACTTTAGAAACAAAGATCTTTTTATTCCCGTTTAATGTATACATGATACGCGACAAAAGGATTAAGGTTTTACCAAAGGCCAACATGCCCAAAAATTTATTTTTACAACAGCTCCAAAACTATGTGAGGTATAAAGTTAAAACATTTACAGTTTATAAATGTATCATTGATTAACAGATAGAAAGTATCACTTGAGAACAAATACTTAAAGAAAGTATTTAACGAGAAAAATTCTTTTAAAAAAATGCATATATTTTTTAAAAATACACCTAATTAATTCCGTACTTTTAGTGAAAGCCATCATTGCAGAAACAATATATGTTTATCTATGAAAGGCAAGTTGGACTTCGATAGTCTCTGGAAAGTTGTTTTCCCTGTTTATTTTGTCCAAATATTAAGATTTGAAACCGAAAGTACATTGCAAATGGCGGATTTTATAGGGTACTTGTCTTTATACATGTCATGCTTTCAATAATAGCCTTTCAGAGACCATTCACGTCCAACTTGCCCTTCATTGATAAACATATATTATTTCTTCAATGATGGTTTTCACTAAAAGTACAGAATTAAGCAGGTGCACTTTTTTAAAATATGCAAATTTTTTGAAATTGTTTTTTCTCAAAAAATATATTTTTTTTTAATATTTGTTTTTAAGTGATACTTTCTATCTGTTAATCAATGATATATTTATAAACTGTAAAAGTTTTAACTTTATACCTCACATAGTTTTGGAGCTGTTGTAAAAATAAATTTTTGGGCATGTTGACCTTTGGCAGGTTGGGGGGAAACGTACATTCCGCTATAATAGTGGTATCTCACTATTATAGTGAAATATCGCTATATTTGCCGCCGTAGATAGTCTCGAATTCATCGGATACCATGCAAGGTGTTTGAAGCGCAAGCCATGGTGGGTATTAAAATGAACAATAATTGTCATGTTTGCATGTTATGAATTTTAATAAATTTTCTACCGTTGCGTTTAATAATGCGAACACTCTTTTTTTAACGGAAGTTGCATTTTTAACATAGCAACCGTTGATTGCGCGCAGGTGAGTTAAGGCTAGGTTTAGGCGTTTCTATGCAAATAAACTAATTAATATGTCTAAGGATTATATCTTTTATACAGAGAAAGTTAAAACTAATTGTTTAATACATACTTGGTACCCACGACATGAGATAGCCAGTGCTCATTGTGACGTCATATTATGACGTCATTGTTCTTTACTACACAAGATTATAATGGATATCAACAAAAATGGTTCGGCGCAAGGGCATGCTCTATTTTATTTAACTGAAACAAGGTATATTTAGAAGCAAAATATTCCAAAGTTTGTTGGTATTGCTGCACAAATATCAACAGCTCAGTTGAATAATTTCTATCTGTAAAGTTTTAAGTTGAATAAGGGTAAAAATGTACAGTCCGGTATATGTTTCCTCAAAAGCCGATCAAATGAGAAAATGTCTAGGATTTGTACAGCAATTTTATTAATCTATAGAATATTCTTCTTAGCATTATACAATTTTTATGTAAAAATAAATATGGTAATCCCTTGCGCCGAACCTGTTTTGTTGTTGTGTTTTATTACCTCAAGTAAGTAAGGTCAATGACGTCATACCATGACGTCATAATGTGTACTGGCTATAATATATCGAGGGTGCTAAGTCTGCATAACAAAATAAATCAAAACTTTCTCTGAGTAATAAAACTTTCTCTGAGTAATAAATATACCTCTTATGCGTTTTTATAAGCTCATTTGCATAGAAATGCTTATACCTAGCCTTAACTCACATGCGCGGGGTTTTTAAACCTGTTTGAATCTCACTTATTTCTCATATATGTGCACAAATTGATGCTTGTTACAATTGTCAACTCGCACTGGTAGAGGTTTGTCGAGTTTACTTAGAAAAAGATGATTTCTGTCTGCATGGTTACGGGTATGGAGGCCCGTTATGGCAAAAGGAAAAATCAGTATACTGATAAACTCAATTTGTATCCTATTAAAAAAAATCAATAAATGATAAAAGAATCATCAAAAAGTTACTGATACAAAGGATTCTGAGAATAATTTGTGAATGGGAATGCTGAAGAAATATTCTTAAGTTTTAATTTCGGCTTTTTAATTGTTTATTTAAAAAAAAAAGTCTCGTAAAGAAAGAAAAGCCCTTTTCACTTCACTTTTAGTATTTTGGTGTCGGAAATATTGGACAGGAGTGCCTATAACCTATTTTTAACAACTTTTCAAACAATTATGAATTAACTATATTTTAACTCAACACACACGTATGTTATATAACATTATATGCACTTAAGGTAAGAACTATTTAACTCGAAAAGCTGCTTGAAATAGCTCTGATTTTTTTTTTGCAATATTCGAAAAATATCAGTTTAATTTAAATCATATAAATTAAAATAGCATCGCTAAAATCACACTAAAAGAATTAATCTTTTAGACTTCTAGATTTGTGCCAGAATGTTGTTGTTTAAACCACAAGACAACTTCAAACAACGAGTCACAACTACTCAATATCCAGAATAAAAAAGTGTCTAAAAGTATTATTGACTCGATTCCACGAAAAAGGGGAAATTATATTTGTTCCTCATGTGTTAGTGCATACTCGAAGAAGTCGAAAACATTTCAAGATGAAATCATTCAGTATATTGAAACGGAATGTTCGATGAGTGAATTGAAAGATATTGCTTCAGTAATCGGAAAACGTATATCGAGCAATGTTAAAGAAGACTGTTTAACAATTCAAAATGACTATAGAAATACAGAAAAACTAGTAAATTTCAATCCCAAAGAATGGCTGCAATGTCGAAATGAAATTGTTGTCGAGTTTTTAATGTCAACTGCTGACATATCAAATTTAGAGAACAACAAGAGGTGTCTTGCCCTAGTATCGTGCATTGAGTCCTTGTATAAGGCAAGCCTTTCAAACCTCGTAACCCCTTTAGCATTTGCTAGAAACATTATCAGTTATCATTTTTCTGGTAGCAAGACCCTGTGTGACTTTAATTCTGAGACTGAACCTGCAGGTTCCTACAAAACGATTTTGAGGTGGTTGAAAGAACAAAGTGGTTCAGAAATTATCTGTCCAGTCAATCAAGATGTTATAAGCTTTTATGATAATAATCAAGTTTTGTGTAGAAACTGGAGGGTAAGACACAATGCACAAGTAAAAACGAGCGTTATTACTACATTATTGCATCTGTTTCCTCAAACTTGTGTCAAGTTACAGCATCAGCCACATCTTTCACCATCTTTCACCTTTTCTTTGGTTATATAGCTCTGAACTATCATCCGAAGAGCAGATAGCATGTGTGAGTGATTTTATCCATGCATCCTCCATTGACTTTAACAGACTACGAGATGACTTTTTACGACGTAGGATCATGATGGTGTACGACCAGCAAGCTCAGATGAATGGCGAGATAAAAGATGACGTTGACAAAAATTCTGTTGACGACAGAACCAAATACTCACTTCAAACACTATATGAAAAGGTTGAACACAAACATCCACTTGTATCCCCGACGCTCTTAATGGGAGAGCCTTGCATGAGCAACCCTTGTTCATATTCATCTGTCAGCACAATCTTGAAAGACATTAAAGGTAGATGCAGCGTTGGAGGTAATCGGAAGTGGACAGTGGTCGGGTCAGATGGTCTGCCCTATGTCCTTGGTTCACGTGCAATTGAAAAAGATCGAGAATTACAAGACATACTTATCATACCTGGATTGGGACACTATGAAATGAATATGGTGAGAGGTCTTTTCAAACTTCTTTTCGATGTAATTCTTGTTGAACTTCAAGACTACGAAAGCTCTTTCCAGTTTCAAAAATGCTTTTGACCACCACAAATCATGGCAAGCATTCTGTATATTTTTCTTTGGAACCTGTGATGAGCTTATTCTTCCATATGTGAGACAATGCATAAACCATGAGAAAACTCCATCTCTTCAAGAGTTTTATCAATTCTTGAAGGACGCCTCCAATCCTAATTTCATTTTTATGAAAGATATTGTATTCACATATTGCCTTTCCCTTGTTTTCTTTCGGGCTGGAACAAGGCGGAATAACTCATCTGTAATGCTTGCTGGTAGAACAAAATTTGCTAATTTATTCTATGGTCTAAACATGACTCATTATCAGGAAATTGAATTCAAAGACCTTCGTATGAGAGTATTAGCTCCTGAGGACATAAAACAATTTATAACGAACAACGAATCTTTCTCTGCTTCGGGTCATACAAGTAAAGGCGAGGGAGGGGACTTTCTTTTAGAAGCCTATAATAGGAAAACTAAGTGCTGGATGCCACCAGGAATTCCTGATGAAAGCAGATGGCTCAGATCAGTAAGAAATGTTGACACATTAGACAAGGTATTTATCCTATTATGTATCGTTTCTATCTTACACATATCGTACATAATATCCAAATTTTCTTATTTTGCCTTGTAAGAGTTATTTACATTTCGAAAATTTCTATGGTCATTACAATAATGTCTCATCTTTTTCAAAACCTCTTCGTCCATTATTACGTATCCAGTACAGCGGGTATGAAACCTCCTCTTACATCCCTGCCTACTGCATCCAACCCATACCTCCTTTTCTTTTTTTCCTTTGTGTTTTTTCATGCACACTTGACACAGATTATCATATTCAACGTGATCAGTTAGAGATTTTGATGAGTTTCTTTTACATCTTTTCCTTTTTTCGGCAACTATAGAATGAATAAAAATAATATTTATGTTGACTGCATAAAACAATGTGCTATTATGTTTTTACATTTTATAAAGTTTTACCTTTATTGTGCTTTGCAACAGGCGAGGGGAAGCTGGTATGTATAGGTTCATCTTCTCTTTGGGGGCTTGACGGATGCAAGTGGAACTCCTGTGATTCATTCTTATTGACATCATTGTCTTTATTTTGCTAAATGAAATTCAATATGTAATTATTAATACAATATATCAATGATACAAAAATTGTATTCAACATTAGAAAACCGTTTACCCGAGAAAAAAATGGTATACATTTAAAAAGTTGCTGCTCTTTTCTTCAAATTTTCTCCCAATCTCCGTGACTAGGGTAACTGAAAACTCGGTTTTAGTCAAGATATGAAGATCTTTTAGCTACAAGAAAGAACAGAATGTTTGTAATGCTGGAATAGTTTTTAAATAAAAAATGCATACGAGGTTGAATTGTATTAAAATACATATGAGATTAAATTATATAATTATTAAATACATAGAATATATTTGATACGGTAAAAAAATCTTAATTTGGCATAAATGTTAAAATGAACGCACAGCCATCAGTAATAAGATTTTTCAGAATATAATAATACTAGTAATATATAGACACAAATAATCACACGTTAACCACATACAATCATAAGCGCATCAAGATTGTTTTACATCATTATATCCAGCAAAATAAGTACCTTAAGGGCTGTTTATATGCATTGTATATTCAAATATAGATGAGGAAAACCTTTATCGGAGCACAAAACTGTGGGGAAGACTCAACCTATGAAATCCCTCTTCACACAGAAATTTTAAAATGGCGACAATACTTGAGAAATTCTAATTACCTCAACCCAGCTACAGTTTGTCGGCACACCTCTCTGAATGGGGTTGAGTTAGATGAGGATCTCATTAACTTTGCAGCGCATTGTAAAGCAAATCGAGAGTCTTATCATAACAAAATTGCACAAGGACAAATGCCAGGTTATTAAGCTAAGATTATTTTCAATTGAAAGTTTACTAACAAACTTTTTATATACATTTATTAGTATAATTTCTTATCTTAGGGGGAAGATTTTAAATTTTTCCCTTCCCAATAGCACGAATAGGTTTAGAAATCAGAAAAAAAGAGTAAGTGTTACAGGAATCCACAAACGTTTATAAAATACAGAAAGTATTTGTTTAAAACAAATGATTTACAAAGGTTACTTTTTAGCTCACCTCGACGAAGTCGAGATGAGCTTATGCTATACCCCCGGCGTTGGCGTCGGCGTCCCGGTTAAAGTTTTGGGAGCAAGTCCCATTCCCAAGTAACTATAAGCCCTATCTGGACCAAACTTGCATGGATGATGCATCTAGGGATGGACACTGCCACACTTGCTTCGGATGCTGGATCTGACCTAGATTTTCCAGATGAGTGACCAGGTTAAAGTTTTTGGAGCAGGTCCATACCTAAGTAACTATAAGCCCTACCTGGACCAAACTTGCATGGATGATGCATCTAGGGATGGACACTTCCACACTTGCTTCAGATGCTGGATCTGACCTAGATTTTCCAGATGAGTGACCAGGTTAAAGTTTTTGGAGCAGGTCCATTCCCAAGTAACTATAAGCCCTACCTAGACCAGACTTGCATGGATGATGCATCTAGGGATGGACACTAACAAACCTGCTTCGGATGCTGGATCTGACCTAGATTTTCCAGATAAGTGACCAGGTTAAAGTTTTTGGAGCAGGTCCATTCCCAAGTAACTATAAGCCCTACCTGGACCAAACTTGCATGGATGATGCATCTAGGGATGGACACTACCACGCCTGCTTCAGATGCTGGATCTGACCTAGATCTTCCAGATGAGTAACCAGGTTAAAGTTTTTGGAGCAGGTCCATTCCCAAGAAACTATAAGCCCTATCTGGACCAAACTTGCATGAATGATGCATTTAGGGATGGACACTGCCACACTTGATTCGGATGCTGGATCTGACCTAGATTTTCCAGATGAGTGACCAGGTTAAAGTTTTTGGAGCAGGTCCATTCCCAAGTAACTATAAGCCCTACCTGGACCAAACTTGCATGGATGATGCATCTAGGGATGGACATTACCACACTTGATTCAGATGCTGGATCTGATTTAGATTTTCCACATATGAGACCAGATTTAGATTTTGGAGCAGTCTCATTCCCAAGTGACTATAAGCCCTACCTAGACCAAACTTTCATGGATGATGCATCTAGGGATGTACACTAACAAACCTGCTTTGAATGCTGGATCAGAGCTAGATTTTCCACATGCGTGAATTTTAGCAATATTTTTACTAAATTAGCATGGATGCTGTATCTAGGGATGAACACTTCCAGACTTTCTTTGGATTCTGAATCTGACTTACATTTTCTAGATGAGTGACCAGGATAATTTTTTTTTGGATTAGCTTTATAAAATTATGGCCTGTTATGATTAAACTTGCATAGATGGTGCATTCAAGGATGAAACTTCCAGACTTGCTTTGGATGTTGGAACTGACGAAAATTTTCTTGATTAGTAAACAGTTTTTTGAGCAGGTCTATTTCCAAGTAACTATAAGTCCTACTTAAACCAAACTTGCATGGATATTGATCTTGGGATGTACCCTAACTAGAAAAAAAATATGATGTAAAATTTGCCTTACTTATAGATAACATTCGTCGAGGTGAGCTTCGTAATCTTTGATTACCTATGTTTATATTTAATAAAGTATTGTTTTTGGCGCTTTATACCCAATTAAAAGAAGTAACATGTATGTTACAAAAACAGTATCTGTATACATCCTGGTCATCAATGTTAATTTAATATATCGTTTTGTCTCCTAGGAAAAGGACAAAAACTTGTCCCAGTTTTCATTTTTCCAAATGAGCGTTCCGAATTTCATAAAATCGAACGAAAGACGATACGAGAAATTGTCGACATGGTCCTCAGTGGCATTTCTGAAATCAGAAGGTTGGGTCAGTTGATACAGCTTCGATTCTCCTGCAAACATGGCATCGAGAAAGATTGAATACTGCCAAAAAAGACGTCATTCTTTCATTCTACAAGGAAGTTGTTGTAGCTCTTGAAGAGGCCACTGCTATTTTTGAAGGTATATATTTACAGATTTTTTTTTCATTTAGACTCATAATGTTGGAGAGTTACCTGTTTGAAGATTCCAAGTCGTCTATTTCTAAGAGTCTGTGTCCTTTTCAAAGAATTTGTGATGTATTCCATTCTTACAGGCCCTTTTCTTCTCCCTCGGCAAACTTGACCCTTTTTGTTTTTTCCCGGATTGTACGAAGAAGTTGACTCTTTTGAGCTTGATGACTAAATACATAAAAAAAAATCAACCCCCACAAAACACACACACACACAAGTTTAATAATATATATTTACATGAAAATTTCATGTTAACGTCTTATTATTATCATTGTAGGAGACGAGGTCGATTCTGGAGAATCAGCAGCAGAGGATTAAAATTTTCTCATATAGTTATATGTGTTTTTTAACTTCCTATAACAAAACAGAATATCTTGTTTTCAGTATATTTCACAATGTAATATATGTAGATTTCAAATATATAAAAACTAGAAATTTCTAAATAACATTAAACATCGAACGTGGGGGGGGGGGGGGGTCAATTACAACTTTGATTTCAAAAGAAACACAACAAACTTTTTGAATGCATGCATATGTAAGATGATATAAGGAATAAACAGCAAACCAAAAATATATTAATATGGAAGAAAAGTGAATTGTATTTTCATAATGAAATGCATCGTGTGGCAAGTAAATAGACGAGTACAAAATACTGATTTTTCCTTTTGCCATAACGGGCCTCCATACCCGTAACCATGCAGACAGAAATCATCTTTTTCTAAGTAAACTCGACAAACCTCTACCAGTGCGAGTTGACAATTGTAACAAGCATCAATTTGTGCACATATATGAGAAATAAGTGAGATTCAAACAGGTTTAAAAAGCCCGCAATCAACGGTTGCTATGTTAAAAATGCAACTTCCGTTAAAAAAAGAGTGTTCGCATTATTAAACGCAACGGTAGAAAATTTATTAAAATTCATAACATGCAAACATGACAATTATTGTTCATTTTAATACCCACCATGGCTTGCGCTTCAAACACCTTGCATGGTATCCGATGAATTCGAGACTATCTACGGCGGCAAATATAGCGATATTTCACTATAATAGTGAGATACCACTATTATAGCGGAATGTACGTTTCCCCCCAACCTGTTTGGTAAAACCTTAAGATACATAAATTTATTGTGATGACATGATGTGCATTATGAAAATGTGGATTTTCATTTGAAGTGAACTAGTAAAATTTACAACTAAGAATAGTTAACATTAAAATTTATATAATTATTAACATTGACCTGAAGGTCCCAACAATAAAAATTTTAATAGGCCTGTAACATTCTGTAAAATAAGATATGGGAAAAATACCCTGCTCACGAATACCCCCTCCCCCTTCCCCTTTCAAATATCCAGAATCCCATCAGCATCGAAAGCCAGTTTTTTGACTTGCCTAGATTGCCGAGCGGTCTTGCGCGCTGTCCCTGTACTGCTTGGAGACAGATTTCGGAGGTCGAGATTTCAACCCCAAATTGTGGGTCCTTATAAAGTAAATATCTGCGTGCTTAATAAATAAATGTATATATATATATATATATATATATATATATATATATATATATATATATATATATATATATATATATATATATGGGGGGTGGGGGGGGGTGTTTGTGTGTGGGGGTGTGATTTTTGTGAACGGTGTTGCCATGGTTACTGAAATAGAAAATTTTATGAAATTTCTTTAAAGGGGCTTAGACACAGATTTGAAGTCAATATTTCATCAAATTTTCTGTATAATATCATGACTTATATGTTACAATAGCATTTCACACGAAAATATAATAAAAAATTTATTATATCTGGAAATGATTGAAACTACAAATTTCGGGTCTCGTTTGATTGACACATCCTTGCATTTTCACAAAACTAAACTTTATCCTTAATACTTAAGAAAAAAAATAGATATTTTGTTGTGTATTAATGAAAAATATTAAAACTATAATCCAGAAAATTCAGACTAGAATTGTGAGAAAACAAACCCAACTCATCAGTGTTTTAGTCCATGCTCAGTGATGTGTGCAGAGTTTAACAAATTGAACACACCCGGCGAATCGTAAACATTAACAATAACAGAGCTCGTGCCCTGTTTACAGAAACAGTTTACGTTTCCCCGTGTGTGATTTATTCTGTGAAATTCCTTTAAAATCCTACTCCACCTACAGTTTTGGTCCGATTTCAATATAACTTGGCACACAAGATACATATTTTATTGCGACGGCTTTTGATATTTTATGAACGGTCATGCCATGGTTACTAAAAATAGAAATTTCTACGAAATGTTTTCCAAATGCAGTTTGCTCTTACTGTTTTGGTCTGATTTAAATATAACTTGACACAAAGAATACTACTCGTAGATACATAATTCTGTGCATGCTCTTTTTATTTATTTATTGGGGGGGGGGGGGGGTGCATGGTTTTTAAAAATATTAATTTATGTGAAATTCTTTCAAAATCCTACTTCTATAGTCAGTATAACTTGGCACACAGGTAGACAATCTGAGATACATAATTCTTTTTATGGATTTACGTTTTTTTTGTGAGCATTGTTGCCATTGTTACTAAAAATAGAAATAAAAACTAAAAATAGCTCGCTTGGTTCTTAGGATGTCAAAAGAAGAGTGAAAATTGTGAAAAATGCCTGAAAATGATGACACACTTATGAAACTTCAATAGATGACTTAGGATTGCCATATATATTTTAAATCAATGTTGTACATGATATGTATTGAATAGTATTTGCTCTATATAGATTACATATATAAAATATTAAGGTTGACAAATTGTTTATACACAGAAAATAAAGAGCTAGCAAGCAGTATCCCGTTTACGACATACGTGTTGTTGATTATTGAGCACTTAATTGAATTATATTCGGACAAACGAAGTGAGGGAGAATATAATTTTTGATATTAAGAATTTAATTTTTTGCAATTAGAAAATCATTTTCTGGTATCAAAAGTATCTTCCCTTTGTGTCCTTCTTATCCTCCTTCTCCCTTCCCTCTGTGTCCTTCTCATCTTGGTTATCCCCCACCCATTTAAATGTAATGGGCGGAGTCTAGATTAGAGAAATACAAATATCAGTCAAAATAAAATCAAATTTTGATTTTTTTTTATATCAGAAAGTGATTTTTTGATATAAGCAAAAAAAAAAAAATCATTTTCTGGTATCAAAAGTATCTTCCCTTTGTGTCCTTCTTATCCTCCTTCTCCCTTCCCTCTGTGTCCTTCTCATCTTGGTTATCCCCCACCCATTTAAATGTAACGGGCGGAGTCTAGATTGGAGAAATACAAATATCAGTCAAAATAAAATCAAATTTTGATTTTTTTTTATATCAGAAAGTGATTTTTTGATATAAGCAAATCTTGTATCAGAAATTACTGCTCAGGGTAGGTTAGTCGGTAGAGCGCTTGCTCCGTGATCGGGAGGTCGTGAGTTCGAATCTCGGCCGCCACTGACCTAAGTCGATAAAAAATGGGTAGCAACTGTTCCTTCGCCATGCTCTCGGCACACATTGAAGTGCTTCGGATCCTTCGGATGAGACCTTAAAAACCGAGGCCCCGTGTCACGGCAGACGTTGGCACGATAAAGATCCCTCACTGCTCAATGGCCCTGAGTGCCGAGTAAAGGTCAAAATTTGAAGCCCTTCACCGGTATATGGTGACGTCTCTATATCAGTGAAAAATTCTCGAATGGGACGTAACAACGTACAATCAATCAATCATATATCAGAAATTAATGTAAATTTTCTGATATAAAAAAAATGAAATTCTTGATATCAAAATATCAGAACACTGATTTTGTTTTATATATCAGAAAATGAATTTCTGAATTTTTGAAATCAAAAAATCGATTTTCTTGATATCAGAAAATGTGCGTGAAATAAATAGAACCAACATTAATGAATACTCCCTTATTCCCCTATAATTAGCTAGTTTACTTGTATTGGTACCATGATATATACCAATCTCGATGCAGCATTGTAGATCCAATTTACTATGAATATGATTCCATGGTTACGCTCACTCCTCATGGAAGATTGACTGTAATAAAAACATTATTAATTCCTAAACTAAACCATCTAATCCTAACTTTACCAAATCCCAGTGAAGAAGTAATAAGTGCTTTTGAAAAAGATTTGTATAATTTCCTTCGGAATAAGAAGAATCATAAAATTAAGAAAAATGTTATAATTCAAGAGTACAGATATGGTGGTCTAAAGATGATAGATTATAAAGATTTTGTTACATCATTGAAGGCAAGTTGGATAAGACTGGTAATACATTCAAAAGCCAAATGGATCAGCTTACTTGAGGCAGAATTAAAAACAAGTATAAATCATCTTTGGATGTTTAGAATTGATTATATTAAGAATTTAGGCAATAACTGGAGAAATAAATTCTGGAAAGATGTTTTTTTAGCTGGTCTAAAGTATATCAGAATGAAGCTATGAATGGTTTTACACTCCAGCAAGAACATGTTTGGTACAATCCAAAGGTCACCATTGGTGGCCGGTCAATTTTTATTAAAAGTTATTTTAGTTCTGGTTTTGTTTTAATTAATGATTTCCTTGATCCAAATGGTAATATTTATAGTTTTAATAACATTCAGAATAACTTTAATGTTAAAAAAAATTATATTGAATATGCAGGACTAAGAACTGCTATAAGAAAGAGACTAGCCTGTTTTAAAGATTACAAAACAATTTCAATTTCCAGACCACTTATTTCTGCTAGTTTACTTATTTTTTTCAAGAGTAAAAAAGGGTGTAAAGATATGTTTAGTCTTCTCATTAAAAATAAAAAGGGTGAAATAATTTCAGTTATAAAATGGAGAAAAGAAGGAGAGCAATTTTGTGAGGCATCATGGGAAAAAATATTTGAGCTACCATTTAAAACAATTCAAGAATCTAAATTTCAATGGTTACAATTTCAAATTTTACATAGAATAATTCCTAATAAAAGTTATCTTTACAAATTAAAATTAATTGATTCACCATTATGTTCCTTCTGTGATACTGATATTGAAACTATTGATCATCTTTTTGTTGACTGCTTCTGTGTTAAAGAACTTTGGTTGGAAATTGAAGAATGGATTTTGAATAAACTAAACCGGTTAGTTTGTTTCAATAAGAAATCAATCTTGTTTGGTAAATTTACAAACAGAGAACAATACATGTACAAGTTTGAGAATCTTCTTATTATGACTATCAAACGGTATATTTTTTCAAGTAAGTTAAAAATCCAATAAAATTAAGCATTGAGGAATTAAAACATGTAATTACTGACAGAATTCTAATATGATCGTCGTAATTTTGAACTATATTTATACCTTTAACATTTCATCATAAAACGCTGGCTGTACTTTGCTAATGCAAATCATTTTCTCATTATGTATTTTTTGGCAAGAAGAGAGTAATATGGACAATTTTTTCTGACATTTATTATACACACTTTTAAAATGTTCTGGCTTGTCCTCGTTGTGAAAGATTCGTTAATAACAAAGATGGAATTCAAGATGGTGTGGAATGAAACCAGAAGATATTGGTATCTGCTAGAACAACACATGGTAGTCTAAAGGCTACTCAAGCCTTCAGATTGTTCATTAAGGTATTGTTCAACATTGAATTTTGAGATGATTCCAAAGTTGACTCCTCTAAAAATGTGAAGTTTTGATTGCCACCCTCCTTCCATTCCAACCAGTATGTAAGCATAACTCCTTTACCCTACAAAAATGGACAAAAGTACATTTGCACGGTACAAGTAAAAAGAAACAAACAACTGTTACACTAACAACAATGCACCCATCTTCCCAAGTAGATGGCAGTAATCTTATGATGAGTCTGAAAATGTGATTTTCCATCAAACACATTCTGCAAAACTAGACAAAAAATCATTTGCAAAGTAATCGACATGTAAAGGAAATCAGTTGCTTAGCATGATCTATCTAGAAAACGGAAACCGATACAAAGACAAGAAGCCCAGGGGCCATATCGCTCACCTAAGCACTCTGGCTAGGAAAAAGCAGAAATCAGTTCAGTCTTGAAAAGTTTAAATATAAAACTGGTTTGGGGGTGGGGGGTTATTTTGAACTAACTTTGACCTATACTTCATAGGGATGCATTTGAATTAATAAGACAAACAATGGCTTTTGTTGTTCTAAAGAGAAGAAAACTTTTATTGATATATCATTTGTATTCCTTTGTATAACTATGATCCCTTGTTATGGCCCCTCTATTCTCCTGGGGAGTCCTGATTTGAACAATTTTGAATCTACATTACCTGAGGATGCTTCCATAAAAAGATTACCAATCATGGCTCTGCTGTTCTTGAGAAGAAGACTTTTAAAGATTTTTCCTATGTATTCGTACGTAAAACTTTGATCGCCCATCGTGGCCCCACCCTACCCCCGGGGGTCATGATTTGAACAAATTTGAATCTACACTGTATGAGGATGCTTCCATATAAATATGACCAATCATAGTTTTGCTGTTCTTGAGAAGAAGATTTTTAAAGATTTTTCCTATATATTCCTATGTAAAACTTTGATCGCCCATTGTGGCCCCACCCTACCGCCAGGGATCATGATTTGAACAAACCTGAATCTACACTACCTGAGGATGCTTCCAAATAAGTTTCAAATTTTCAAGCACAGTGGTTCTTGAAAAGAAGATTTTTAAATGATTCCATTAATTTTCACGAATTCATAATTATCTCCCCTTGGAAGAAGGCGTGGCCCTTCAGTTGAATAAACTTGAATACCATTTACCCAAGGGTACTTTCTGGCAAGTTTTGTTGAAATTGGCCCAGTGGTTCCTGAGAAGAAGATGAAAATGTGAAAAGTTTACAACGAAGACGACAGACAACGGACAAATTTCGATCAAAAAAGCTCACTTAAGCCGTCGGCTCAGGTAGCTAAAAAGGGGGTCTTTACAGAAGAACAACGCATGATGTACTTATTTTGTAAAGGTTTACAGCCAATAATACAGAAACCTATAAAGTACATAACCAAAAGGTTATCGTGTTGTTATTTTACAAAGGTTTACAACCAACAACACAGAAACCTATGCTCAAACAAAAGGTTAGCTTGACCCTGTCCTACAAAATTAACAATACTTTAGTACAGGATTCTTTAAAGAATCAGGGCACTTGACTACAGAAAATTTTACAACTGATATTAACACTATAGATACACAAACAACCAGCTACAATTAAGAAGTGAATGATTTGAAATACGTTGATATTATCCTCTACCCTTTAAATATTCGGAAAAACCTCTGAACAGTATTTCAATATAACGCAGGGGTTTGATTGTAAAATATTTCCATGTAATTGATTAAAGTGTGTTCATAGGTGAGTTATAAATTTTAAATAGTTAACGACTCTAAAAGATATACAAAGTTTAATTTCTACTTAATACAAATTCTTAATTTAGAAAAAATATAGTGCATCATGGGGATTTTAAGGGGTCGTAGACCCGTATTCTACCCATTCCCAATGGTAAAAGTGTGTGTGCGTTTCCAATTTCATAGCCTAAAAGAAAATCCACAAAAAGGCGATTCGAAACAAAAATATCTCTAAAAAACTATAAAAAAAAAAGTATGTCCGAACTCAGTAACATGTATATCAGAATCGGCGTTTAAATAAAAAAAAATCTAAAACGCAGGCTCCAAAACAGATTGACTGAATGTACAATAACTTAATAAATACCTTGCAAATAAAAAAAAACAAACTCTAGTTGAATTTATTTAGAAAGATGTTACATATGATATTTTTCTCAATTTCAACCCACAGGCCCTTGAATCGCTTAAATCCGACTTAAGAAAAATTTTGGGTGTTAAAAAAAGAGATAAAAGTATGTAACTCCTTACATGGGGTACCCACATTTCCGATTAAAATACTTTTAAATCAAATGATCTAAAATTTTTCTTTCTATTCATATCTATTCACATATAAACAACCTACATTACTACCAAAGCTGATTCCGAAAGTCCGTATACTTCCCCAGATATTCTGAAATCAATTCCAAAATTGACCTATATTTTTTACTCGACATTAGCTTGGTCCCCTGGTCATTCACATCTATACAGACGATGTTTGAACTGCAGTGAACAATTGCACAATATTTGCACGACCTTTCAACATTTTAATGTTGATTTTTTGCTCCAAAATGTACAGTTAAGTCCTTAAGAATTCCTTTCGCGAATAAATAATTAGAAAACGCCAGGTTATGCCAGCTTCAACAACTACACAGCCATTTTGTTTATAATTTTTTTTATGATTGAACGAAATTTTCCCGGAATGCATTATATTCGATTTTTTTTAAGTTAGACCGCTAAAATTTTGTTGGTAACTTAGTAAGAGTTTTTGATCAAAACATATAAAATTTTGTAGAGAATGAGTGCTAAAAAACAAATATTTAGTGAATATAGAAAAATTCCTGGAAAAATTCGACCCGTCATTCACATTTTACAATTAGTGAAAATATTCGGAGGCCCAACCTAATGTCGAGTAAAAAAAAATGTCAATTTTGGAATTGATTTCAGCATATCTCTGGAGGTATACGGAATTTCGGAATGAACTTTGGTAGTAATGTAGGTTGTTTATATGTGAATAGATATGAATAGAAAGTAAAAATTTAGATCATTTGAGTTAAAAGTATACATGTATTATTGGTGAAAGTGGGTACCCTATGAATGAGTTCCATACCTTTATTTTTTTTTACACCCCAAATTTTTGTAAATCGGATTAAAGCGATCTAAAGGCCTGTGTTTCAACCTAATGTCGCTATTTTTCCCAAATGGAAAGGCCGAGGCCCTTGATTTTAAGACCTTAAAAAAACCTGGCATCATCTATCCAACTTGAAATCGCACCTGTGTTTCGATAAATGTATCATTGCTTTGCATGTATGGTAGTAATGGTATAATGGTACCTTAATAAAGACTTCTCCTCTTGTGCTGAGATGAACTTCTGGTGAGTCTTTTAAGAGTGTTGCAGTAGAACCACTTATTTGAATTTTTGAAGCTAAAGAAATCACATTGTAAAGTCATGCCATTTTCGAGCAATATATTTAATGGAAAAATTGTAAAAGCGATACTTTGTTGTGGACAATAGGAATAAATTGATACAGAGCATTCTACTTCTCGAAAAGGTAAAAAAAAATATTCCGTTTGATCGCAGTTGATTGCTACAAACCTTCACTTGTACTTTCCATTCTTGAGGCCGTATTTACAGTATCTCCAAACAGGCAGTATCTTGGCATTTTAACACCAATAACACCAGCAACACAAGGACCTAAAAAATAAATATTATAGAAACCCCCATGACTGTCTTTTTCATGAATACTCTGAATAAAGTTAATTTAAGATAAAGCATACCTGAATGGACTTCCGCACGCAGTTCAAGCTTTTTACGTGGCCGGTGACGTATTCTGAATTTATTGACTATCCTCATTATAGATATGCTAAGTTTGGCTATTTCTGTATGATGATAGATATTCCTTTGTGGCAGACCAGAGGCACACATGTAGGCATCACCAATAGTCTCTACCTTAAAAATAATCATTTTTATTTTCTGAATTTGTTTATATTTGTCCATAAACTGCTAAATTGTTTTATGTTGATTAACAGTGAAAAGGAGCTGAGCCAATATTTAAAAAAAATACGTGGATATGATCACAAAGTATTGATTTATAAAAGTTCACCTTGTACACATCATACGAGGTAATTACATCGTCAAAACTGGAATACAAGTCATTCAACATTTCCACAATCTGAAATGAAAGAAAAAGTGAGCAAACTCACATACCCCACTGTTCCCCAAAACTTGACAATGCAACACATAATGAATGGCACAGTGCACTTTAAATACACAGTATAATTCAAAAAGGGCAAGTAATTGCAAAAAATCATCACATCAAAACTTCTTGCATATAAGGACATTCAAATCATTGCCTGTTACAAATTTAATTGGGCTGAAGTTTCTAGATAAATAATGGAATCAAAATTTCTCGGTAATATACACATTATGTCTGATATAACTACAAAGTTTCAGGAAATTCAGTGCAGGAATTATGCTGGCAAACTGTTATTTAAATTCCTCAGTGATTTCGATTTGTTAATGAGTGTAAGTTCATGTCCAAAGTATGACAATTTACACATTTAAATAATTGATGGGAATAAAATTATGACGTGGTCATAAAAAGATCTTTGTATATATACTGTACTCGTGAAATCATTTTAGGCAAAGCACTACTCTGAGCTGTATGCGTGTGTGTGCATGTTTGTGTGTGTGTGGGGGGGGGGGGGGTTGTGGGGTTGTGTACTTCTATCCAAGATTGTGTGTGTTGAATCATTAATATTTTGACCTCAAAATCAATAGGTGTCTTTTATAAAATATAATTTCATTACAAAAGCTGATTCCAGTGGATTTTCTTATTACATAGCTGAAAAGTTTCTTCAATAATAGCCAAAACTTTAAGGCCAAAAATAATGGAATCAAAATTTCCTGGCAATATGCACAACTTCAAACTGTGTCCTAAATACCTGCTAAGTTTGACGAAATTCTTTGCAGCGGTTTAAGAGGAGTTGTGCTGACAAACTGTTCATCTCTATATTCAAGATACATGTATGCCCAAAAATCTAAGTAGAAAAGTGCCAAAACTCCAAGATAAATAAAAGAATAGTAATTTCCTGGCAATATGCACATCTACACACTGTGTTCTAAATATCTGCGAAGTTCGATGAAATTCTGTGCAGCGGTTTAAGAGAAGTTGCGCTGACGAACTGTTCATCTCTATATTCAAGATATGGTCGAAAGTCTTAAGTTGAAAAGTGCCAAAATTCCAAGAAAAATAAAGTAATCGGAATTTCCTGCTAATATGCACATCCACACTCTGTCTTCTAAATATCTGCAAAGTTTGACGAAATACTGTGCCGCGGTTTAAGAGGAATTGTGCTGACAAATTGTTCATCTCTATGTTCAAGATATGGCCAAAAATCTAAGTTGAAAAGTGCCGAAATTCCAAGAAAAATAATGGAATCGGAATTTCCTGGCAATATGCACAACAACACACTGTGTCCTAAATATCTGCAAAGTTTGACGAAATACTGTGCAGCGGTTTAAGAGGATTTGCGCTGACAAAAAAAGGACTGACTGATTGACGGACGGGTCAAAATATTATACCTCCCCCCCCCCCCGCAACTTGTTGCGTGGGGTATAATTACATCATCTTGCTATGTTGCGAGAATAACTGTTTATATTTATTTTTAAAGTACAGGAATTCAATCTGAATGGAAATGTCGTTAAATAAATCTGACCTGCAACGGCGAAGATTCAGAAGAAATGGATGTGAACTGCACAATATCAGTAAACAGAATGGTAACAGACTCGAATGATTCAGGTTCTACAAATCCCTGGGATTGAATCTGATGAGCAATCGACCTACAATTAGGAGCATAATTTATGCACTGCAGATAGCAGTAATTTACTACGTTGATTTAATTGTACATTGCTATTGTCATCTACACTGCGACCGTCCGTCTTTTTTTCTGTGTGTTTGTTTGAAAGTTTGGGAAGTGTACATGTATATCATGAAAATTCCATTAAAAGATCTACGCCGAATTACGTATCACACAGAAATGGAACAAATGACAGGAAAGTCTCACTCAGCTTTGACATCACCAGCAGGCAACAATGCGTTCCTTGTTTTCATGATAGAATTTTTTTACCATTAAATTAATAATTGAACTGAAAAATTTTGAAAATGAAACATTGTTGTGATTTTTTTAATACACATGCATTAAATGTCTTTAAAAAAACTCACTGAGGTAGTAATTGATAGAGAAGATCTTCTGCTCTTCTCTTCTCGTGTAAATATTTTGACGTTCGCTCTTCAACAAGGTCCTCCAAGTTTGTAGCATATTGTTCCATTCTATTCAGAAGATTGTCGAAGAAATTCTCGGCTTTAACGCTGTCGTCAAAATATCATTCCAGTATTTCATAATGTCAGAATGAAAGAAAGATCTTTGTCTTGATATTAAAATTGTTAAGTAAAGTACTAAACGATGCTAATCAAAGTACTTAATACAGAATTTTTTTATGAGTATGTTTGCTAGGGAAAAAAAATAATTAAGAATTCTAATGATGAATTTACAACAGATTTCGTTTGGTGTACTTTTCGTCCAAAACAATTTAATATGATGATACAAAAAAAGAACAAGGGTGTTTTCAAACGATTTATCAAACCAACAACGGGTGGGACTGCCAAAAGCATCGATGTCAAAATTCCTGTCCAAATTTAATAGGTTATTCCGTATAAATACAACAGCTCTTTCATTAACTTTCAATTAAAGGTGTATTATGAGTATATTGGAAAATAATATGATAAGAAATAGTTCCATGAATTCCAGCTTATACTTACTCTGTAGAAATTTTGATGCTTTTTTTCAAATCCTTAAGAGTTAGTCTGCTTTCTGGATTAGCATCCCAACATTTGGATATTAAAGCTTGGAGCTTTCTGGGACACCCATTAGTTTCAAATTTAGGGCGAAAATTAATGGTCTCTTGACATTTTAACCGCTCTATGATTTCTGTTAAAAAAAAAAATGAAATTGCAAGCAAAATTATATTTTTAATTTTTGTCTTCTGACAAAAAGTTTGATATCACTGAAATCTCTACCGTTTTTTTTTTCTTTTTTTTCTTTTTTTTTTTTTTTTTTTTTTGCTAATGGATACCCACTTAAAATGATAGTTGAGAAATCGAAAACTTTTATAAAATGTACCAATTGGTTGTAGCTGAATTGTCTCCACTCCAAATGGACCATTTCTTTCAAACAATTCGTGTATTACTATGGCCAAGGAATACATGTCCGATTGTTGATAATTTGCTGGAGTTTGAAGTATTTTTAATCTCAGTCTCTCTGGCGAAGTCCATAACAGGTCTGTAATATTAATATTTTTGCGAAATTAGATCTGATTTGAATACATTAAAGATTAAGGATTTTCATGTGCTCAAATGTGTGTTGTTTAGAATCTTGTTATTATTGAAGTATACTAATTAAATGAATGCATAATCAAGTTTCACATTTTTTAAAAGACAAATTATGATAAATCATTTGGAGAAATGGTGTTCCTTCTGCTCATTTGCATATCGGCCATATTGGAGCTATACTGGCGACAGATACCAAAAAGGTTTATGTAGAAAAAAAAAATTAAAAAAAATCGCAAATTGCTATATACTTTTTCGAATAAAGTTCCGATGATTTGATTTTGTCTTTATATCTTCTACCGGAAATGACAGGATTGTTAATACTAAAAAGAAAGTTGCGAACGCCTTTTTGATTTTAAATTCGAATCGAAAGTATATTGTTTCATTGACTGTACATGTATGTTGTTTTACGTCCCATACGAGAAGAATTTTTCACTCATATAGAGACGTCAGTGTATGCCAGTGAAGGGCTTCAAATTTAGACCTATACTCGGACTCGAGCAGTGAGGGTTCTTTATCGTGCCAACGCCTACCGTGACATTGGACCTCGGTTTTTAAATTCTCATCCCAAAGACCCGTGTCTTTCACTTCTAGTGCCAGGCGATTGGCATAGGAACAGTCAGAACTATGTTTACGTTTCAGGCCTGACGCGGCGTGGCGAACGAGAATCGACCCCGGGCCTCCTGATCACGAAGCGAACGCCCTACCACTAGGCTACCATGAACGGTATTGTTCTATTAAAGGAAAATGCAGAATTGGTGTTTTTATCATTTCATGATGAAATGAAAGTGTTTATTGCAAGTTGAAGAACTCTTCCGCCAATAAATAGATACAGGAGAAAGCAAGAGCAAACGCTCTAACCACTGAACTACGCAGGTGACCGTATAACTAAGAAGGAGGGTTTAAGAAAAAAAGATACAAAAGAGGCTTCCAGGTTTTAATATAAAAATTTAAAGACATGGAATTTCGAGTTTATGCAGGATCTTATGAATATTAATGAGAGGTAAATCACCTGAAAGCAATCACACGAATAAACTGCAAACCATTTCTCCATATATTAAAAAAACAAAAGGAAATTATAATATGGGAATTAAATACCTGATTTAAGATAAATAAACCTTTCAACATACAGGGAAGTAACTCAGGTATGTAAAACAACGAAGCAAAAGACGTCAAAAAATTTTATCAGCAAAGAGAGGTTTTAGGGTAGGACAATCGGGAGCTGGGCTAGAGGTGAAATCTAATGGGTAGACTCACCAAGAGAGACAGCAGATGAAAATACTTTAACATAATAATTATAAACTCTATCCCCTACAAAGACCCTTTCAGGCAAATTCCAGTCATTTCATTCGAATACTATTGAGATCATCATCTCAAACTCTTATGAAAGCACTGGATAACAAGAGGCCCAGGGGCCATATCGCTCACCTGAGCACTCTGGCTAGGAAAAAGCAGAAATCAGTTGAGTCTTGAAAAGTTTTGATATAAAAGTGGTTCGAGGGGGAGGGGGGGGGGTTAAATTTGAACTTGAATCTATACTTCAAAGGGATGCTTTTGAATTAATATGACAAATAATGGCTATGCTGTTCTTAGGAAGACAATTTTTATTGATATATCATCTGTATTCCTTTGTATAACTATGATCCCCTATTATGGCCCCTCTATTCTCCTGGGGGGGGGGGGGGGGGGGTCATGATTTGAACAAAATTTGAATCTACATTACCTGAGGATGCTTGCATTTAAATATGACTAATTATTGTTTTGCTGTTCTTCAGAAGAAGATTTTAAAAGGCTTGCTTTTTCCTATGTATTCCTATGTAAAACTTTGATCACCCATTGTAGCCCCACTCTACCCCCGGGGGTCATGATTAAAACAAACTTGAATCTACACTTCCTGAGGATGCACCCATTAAAAAAAACCAATCATGGCTTTGCTGTTCTCGAGAAAAAGATTTTTACAAATTTTTCCTATGTATTTTATGTAAAACTTTGATCACCCATTGTGGCTCCACCTTACCCCCGGGGGTCATGATTGGAACAAACTTGAACCTGCACTACTTGAGGATGCTTCCATGTAAATATGACCAATCATGGCTTTGTTGTTCTTGTGAAAAAGGTTTTTACAGATTTTTCCTATGTATTCTTATTTAAAATTTGGATCGCCCATTGTGGCTCCACCCTACCCCCGGGGGTCATGATTGGAACAAACTTGAATCTACACTACCTGAGGATGCTTCCATATAAATATGACCAATCATGGCTTTGCTGTTCTTGAGAAGAAGATTTTTAAAGAGTTTTCCTATATATTCCTATGTAAAACTTTGATTGCCCATTGTGGCCCCACCCTACCCCCGGGGGTCATGATTTGAACAAACTTGAATCTACACTACCTGAGGATGCTTCCATATAAGTTTCATATTTTCAAGCACAGTGGTTCTTGAGAAGAAGATTTTTAAATGATGCCATTAATTTTTCATGAATTCATGATTATCTCCCCTTGGAAGAAGGCGTGGCCCTTCATTTGAACAAACTTGAACCCCCTTCACCCAAGGATACTCTGTGCCAAGTTTGGTTGAAATTGCCCCAGTAGTTCTGGAGAAGAAGATGAAATTGTGAAAAGTTTACAACGACAACGACAACAACGCCGACGACAGACAACGGACAAATTTTGATCAGAAAAGCTCACTTGAGCCTTCGGCTCAGGTGAGCTAAAAAGCTGAAGAGTTTACAATAATAGTATTCAATAAACACCGATATATCGATTATCGAGAATCAGAAAGTGTCGGTATACAGCTGATAGAATCCTTCACGCCAGCACAGAATCTTGGTTTTGAAAAATATCTACATTGAAAAACGACATTGCTTATTTTCAAATAAAACGTCGAGTTGTTAAAGGCCGAAAATCACAAAAGAACAAATTTTCTTACAAAACTGAGACTCGGACGAAATTCCAACGTTCTTGAAAACCCTCTTAAGCTAGTTAAGTACTTATTTAAATACCAACATTCTGCATGACTTCTCGACATGGGACAATACCAATGTTTTGAAAGACCTTCTTTACCCGAACCAAAAAAGAAACTGTATAAAACTGCAGTGATTGGAGGTGGATAATGCTATTCTAAACAAAAATGTTTTGAGCAGAAAGATGATGAGCAGAATTTCAGTCATAATGATTATTAATGCGTTAAAACAAGCAGGCTAATACAAGCGTTAACGTTCCTTATTTATACAGTAATATTCCACAATCACCTGCATATGGTGTTTATTCGATACTAAAGCGCATGTTTTGCGTATGATAAAACCTTTGATAGAAGCAGGTAACTGACAGAAAAAGTTGATGTTACATGGTTTTCAAATATCTCGTTTTAAGTCAGCATTCTCAAAGAAGAGGGTACGGTTTTGGCTTTATTGTGCCCTAAAAATTGAATGTTTTCAAAAAGTTTTGAAATTGGCATAAATATGAGTTGAGTATATGGGTGTGATAATTCATGAAAGAATATGGCATGAAGGAGGACCATTCTGGAAATATGACATCATTAATTTTGTATTTTTCTAAGTTTTAAGCAGAAAAAGCCTCAAAATGACTCATTTCAGGGGGTATTTTCCTTGAAAAAATAGTGTCCATAGCCGTCTCCCACTTTAATATTCGGATATGTTGTGTAAAATTCTTTAAAAAATCACATATCTCAAAATCTTAATGGGCGATGCATGTGGTCTATATTATCTGAAAGAAAATTTCACTGAAAATTGATGTCTTCTGGAACTTTTAAAGAAAATACGGGAAAATGCACGAGTTTATGACGTCACAATTTGCATTTAGGAAATCAAATGAGAAAAACGATTTGTTTGATCTTACTGCATGGAGTTTCAACATTTCAGAAAGCATGAATTTTAATTTCTTTCATCACTTTCATAATTTAGAAAAATACAGGGCCAGATTTGTATTGAAACTGTACCTTGTTCTTTTATGGGCCATTATGACTTTGTTTCCAAAAAGAAAATGTTTAGTAAAGCTTTAGCTCTTTCACTTCAAATCTTTAGAAGCTTTACAATCACTGACATGTTATACTTAAGTGTTACTTACTGTAAAGCTTCTGAAGATCTAAAATGAAAGTACTACAGCTTTACTAAACGTTTTCGTGTTTCTTTCTTTATTTGTAATTTTACCGAGCACTGTGGATTTATATTTCTATTTTAATATATATATATATATATATATATATATATATATATATATATATATATATATATATATATATATATATGATTGGTTGTGTGTTGTTTGACGTCCCGTTCGAGAATTTTTCACTCATATAGTTATATAGAGATGTCACTGTATATCGGCTGGTGAAGGGCTTCAAAGAGGGTGTTGCAGTTCTTTTGTTATTTTCCCTAAAGCTGTAGCAGCTTAAAAGAAAAAATTTAAGTAACAGAAAACGGTATATACAGCACAATGTAAAACAATATTTAGAAACTGCATACCGACTTCCAGTTTGCCATTAAATGAAGTGTAATTAGTTACATAGCAAAATAAGTCAAGTTTTCTGTTTTTCAAATAGGGAATCCCCATTGTTCTGAAAAATTGCCTCCTTGAAACGGAATGAATTTGATATACGCATAAAGAGACGGGATTTTTCTTCAAAACTGCCATTTCCGATTTTTGTTTCAAAAAGGCATATTTTCGAAAATCACAAAAATCGAATAAAAATTATCCATCCGAAATGCAAAATATGTACATAAAATAGCACGGGATAGTTCACTGTTGGAGCTGGTCTAGTGGTAAAGCATGTGGACTCTATGCAAAGATTCTTTTACCTGAGAATGGGTTCGAATCTTGGAAAAGCTGGTATATACATGTATATCCATTTTTTTTTTCTAAGACATATATTTAATATTATTGTTTAGTGACGAAGTCTTAAAAAATAAAGTACTATCATTTTAAATACTTTAATTTTTTCGTACACATTTCGTTTCATTATTGTTCTGTTAATTAGTGGCTCAGGTTTGACTTGAAACAACTAAATTGAAATGACTCAATGGATTTTCTTGGATACTGCATCAACAGCGTGATTATTGGACACATTTTTACATACTGAAAAATATTAATGCACACTGTCTACAGTACATCTTTCAAAATGATGTGCGAGGTGCACTTGCCATTAATTGTGCTTTTTATCGTTCCAACTTTTCTCTTTCAATATAGCGACAGTGACCATAGATGCGAAAAAAGTTTACTTTAGTCAGTCTATGTTAGGAAAAAAAACTATAATGCATGAAATAAACGTAAAATGGTAAATGTTTTGTTATAACAAGCTGGACATACCCGTCGTATAAATAAAGTCATCTACGTAGCATTATCTATATTTAGAGATAACTCTTCATGCAAGTTTCTGCAAGACCTTTACTCGGCACTTAGGGCCATTGAGCAGTGAGGGTTCTTTATCGTGCCAGCGCCTACCGTGACACGGAGCCTCGGTTTTTAAGGTCTTGTCCAAAAAAAAAAAAACCCCGAAACTTTCACTCCAAAGTGCCGAGTGCTTGGCGAAGGAACAGTTGCTACCTATTTTTATCGACTTATATCAGTTGCGGCTGTGATTCGAACACACGACCTTCCGATCACGGACCGAGTGCTCTACCGACTGAGCTACCGTGACGGTTTATTAATATAAAGTGCAAAAAGATAGTGGGCTACACCCTTAGAAAAATAACTAAATTGGTTTCTTTACCTCTTTCACATTTTGATTTCTTCTCAATCCAGTTACGTGGTCCAAAATCCGTCAATTTGAGAACGAAGCGACCATCGATTACACAATTAGAACTCTTAAGATTTCCATGGTAACGAAGATTTGAATGAAAGATGTATTCAAGACCCTTCAAAATAAGATTATCCAGTGAATTCTTCAAAAAGCATATTGATTTTTGAAATATCCTAATTATGATGTAAAAAAAGAAATATTCAAACGTAACGGCTGATCATGAAGTCGAATTAGCTTAAAACACCCTCGATTACAAAATGCATTTAAAACTTTCCGACTTTGGTTCTTCAACAGATTTATATCAAACTATACAATTATCTGGAGAGACAGTTATATATCCGGATGATCGAGGATAGTGATATCTATAGATGCATGTAATATATTTTTAATATATTTTTTAAAACTTAAGAGCCATTCTCTATAATGACTTGAACATTTATATAGGAGCTGTGGCACGCATAGTCTCAGAATTTCTGCAAACTCTCTACGATAAATGTCTTTGATACCGTTAACTCAAATCAGGCAAAATTTGGTTGCTACGTGTCATGGTTACCATAGCAACATGTCCTAAAGTTTGAAAAATGGCATTTTCCAACATGTTCAGAGTCCCATAGTTAACGTTTGCAGCAAAGCAAACAAGTGGCAATGACTGTTTCTGAAAGTTGAAGGCCTGATGTCTTAAATGCATGATAAACATGTTTGGTAAATCAACCATTACATACGTTACTATGGAAACAAAGTATTCAAAAGTAATAATTTTGTTCATTGAATTTTATGAAGTCATACACTTAAGAATAAAAAACAATTATAGGTTGAAATGCAAGCAAATAATAGACAAAAGATCCTTGTAACATATAACAAGGGCGAAATATGATATTTCTTATAGGTTGGCAATGGTTGCCATGGTTTTAATACCATGAAGAGATTGTAAATTTACTCTCTTAGTGTTTTAATCTTTTCCTATCTTTTTAAAAAGTATATTTTTATATAACTGATGATCAATTTTTAAAGGCGTTATTGTGACCCTAATTTTGACATTTCAAAAAATTCAAATTCAATTCTTTAAATAGACCGTTGCTATGGAAATTAGCCAAAAAAATATGCATAAAAATATGAAAAATATTCTGTTTCCTTGGATACGTACCCTTGTAGATAGATTCCCAAAACTTTTATGATTGATATTTATGAACAACTAACCTGACTTTCAAGTTTGATTACCACCCAATCTCTAACTGGATGCAAAAAGCTGGCACATAGGGTTAAATATTGATATAAAGTTACCAAAATCAAACATTTTTCCTTCTTGGTAACCATAGCAACAGTGTTGTATTTTTCTTCAAACTTTATCAATATATGATATTCAACTTTAGTTTTACCAGGTAAGTACTATTCAAGGTGAGTCAAATAATATGTTTCTTGATTAAAGGGTAAGTAAATTCCTAAAGCTGCAAAAAAAAATATCATTTAAACAACTGGTATGTTGTTTCCATGGTTACACTGCAAAGTAACAATTAATTCCATTTTTTCTTATGGTGTCGGTGTTGCATGGTCCTAAGGATGTATATGTGCCAGTCATGAATTTTATTGTTTTTCCACAAGATAGTAGCATTAACCCAATCTTAGCAACAGATTTTGCATGGTTACACTGTGTTACCATGACAACCATGGGATTTATTTTTAGAATAATATTGCCAATACCTAATTACTTAAGGTCAAATATTTTTATTGTTTTTCTTAAGTTGTTGATTGAGTTTGATCAAGTAACACCTATCATTAGTGAGTATTGAGCATTTTTCAGCATCTAAAATGTATTCCAAATGTACCCATGGTTACCACTTACTTAGAGATATATTCTAAATAGTTTATTTATAGCATAAGTGGCAACAAGGTGTCATGTTTTTGTGAGAATGCTTTGTTTGTTTTTCTTAGTCTTTATTAAGGCTTAATAAAGATTCAAAGTAGCTGAAAATCTCAATTTTTCAACCTTTTCTGGCTGTTACCATGGCAACCAAGACACATAGCAACCAAATTTTATTTGAAATATGTTTTTGGTGTCAAGTACTAATAATGGGCAAAGTTTCATCAAAATTGGTGACTATGCGTGGCAAAGAAGTTTAAGTGGTTACAGAGAATGGCTATTAAATCGCTCAGAAAGGGCATTTACTCTGATTGTGTCCCATAAAAGACAGCAACGAAAATCCCAATTCATCTTGATATCTTCGTTTTCCAGTATATCCTGTATTAAAAGTAGAGTAAATAAGTGAATTTAAAGTATCTGATTCGATATTTTATAATTTCTCTACGTACATCCCATCTTAACAAAAACTACAATATTAAACTATACTAAACAGTATCAACGTTTGTACAAAGTGAATAGAAGTATTACTACAGTGATTCAAAGTACAAGTATTTTTACCATGAATTTCAAAATGTGATTTTTTATTTCCAATTCTTCTTGCGAATTGTTTTTTAAAGATATTTCAAGGATTTTTATATTAAAAGGAACATGAGATGTTTGTGAAACACTTATGCCCCCCCCCCTCCCCCAATAATTGGAATTTTTCTAAGTCCAAGGGGTATAACTGTCAAAAATTGCTCGATCGTACCCAAAACAGAACTTGACCTGGATATTTTTATGATAAATCCGTGTTCTAAATTTCAGTACAATATGTGCAACCTCTGCAAAGAAAATAAACCGAAACTGCAAATAATTGGAATTTTTCAAAGTCCATGGGGCATAACTCGATCGCACCTAAAACAAAACTTGACTCCAAGTTAGATATTTTTATGATTATTCTCTATACCAAAACTCATTTTATTATATTTACATTTGCAAATGTTTTCTTTTATATAACACTATTAAGAGCAACGCGTATCTATATCCGTATAAACACGGGTTCCCCGCGTCATAATTGTTCGACGTAATTTTTCAGTGACGTCATAAAGGGTCGACGCGCAAACAGTGGATCAGTTGGGTTTGAAAAATAAAACGTTTCACGCGTTAAAGATTATAATCAGGTAAATATAAAATATGAACAAGTCACAAATGTAAATATAAGTAATAAGGTATCATTTTAAAACATCTATCGGGCTATAAATACGGGTTGGTACGAGATCAAATTTACCATAAAGCCCTTCGGGCTTTATGGAATTTGATCTCGTGACCAACCCGTATTTATATCCCGATTGATGTTTAAAAATGATACCTTATTTCTTAAATGTGCAACCTCTGCAAAGAAAACGAACGGAAACTGCAATTAATAATTGGAATTTTTCCAAGTCCAAGGGGCATAACTCTGTCAAAAATTGCTCGATCGTATCTAACACAAAACTTGACTTCAAGTTAGATATTTTTATGATAATTCTGTATACTAAAGTTCATTTCATTATGTGCAACCTCTGCAAAGAAAATGAACGGAAACTGCAAATAATTAGAATTTTTCTAAATCCAAGGGGCATAACTCTGTCAAAAATTGCTCGATCGTACCTAACACAAAATTTGACTTCAAGTTAGATATTTTTATGATAATTCTTTATACCAAAGTTCATTTCATTATGTGCAACCTCTGCAAAGAAAATGAACGGAAACTGCAAATAATTGGAATTTTTCTACGTCCAAGGGGCATAACTCTGTCAAAAATTCCTCGATCGTACCTAAAACAAAACTTGACTTCAAGTTAGATATTGTTATGATAAATCTGTATACCAAAGTTCATTTCACTATGTGCAACCTCTGCAAAGAAATTGAACGGAAACTGCAAATAATTAGAATTTTTCTAAATCCAAGGGGCATAACTTTGTCAAAAATTGCTTGATCGCACCCTAAACAGAACTTGACCTAGATATTTTTATGATAAATCTGTATACCAAAGTTCATTTCAGTATGTGCAACTTCTGCGAAGAAAATGAACGGAAACTGTTAGTAGACCGACAGACAGACCTACCGACCGACAGACAGCAGCAAAGCTATATGCCCTCCCTTCTTCAAAGGGGAATTATAATTAACTCAGGTACAGGTGGCATCAAATGTCCAGCGGTCAAGGTCTATTAAGTAATATTAGCACTCGAGTTTTTCTAGTTGTGTCGAATGCACTTTCGACATTTTTTGAGTTCCTCGGATACTGGTTCTGTATCTTGATGAGGAATAATTCTGAGAAGTATGAAAATGTTCTAATTTCTTCCTTGTATTGCATGCCTTGCTGAAGAACAGAATTAATCTGTTCCTGTTTCTTTCTGGTTACATGTTGATAGTCAGTAATTACCTTCTCGATTCCTCAAGGTCCTTTGATGCAGTTAAGTTTTTCCTGGAGTTCTTTGATTAGTTCTAATATCTGAACAAAACACGTTTTTCTCTCACACATCAATTTGTTTTTATAAATTTGTAGGATTCCGCCTGTTCCCGGTACTTTTCAGTTTGAGTTTTCAAAGTTTCGGTGTGAATTTCGATGACAATGATGAGAAGGGCTTTTCACTTAAACATGATTTTTCTCACGATTTGTCCGAAATTTGATTATTCTTTCTTTGTCTCTGATCTTCTTTCATTTTGATTTGTCTTCGCACTGTACATATGTACGTTTTGTCCGTCTGCGTTTCGATTGAGCGCGTGGGTATTGAAAAGACAGCACAGATGGTTCGGGAATTCCGCATTCTACACATCCTCGCATAGTGTCCTCACAGGCGGTTATAATATATTAAAAAAGGATCCAGAGGAAAGTTTTATAGAAGTATGTACTATAGTTAACTACACGTAGTTATGTAAATTAAATTTTTGTTATAGCACCTGTGGTGTTTCCAGAAGTCCGCTATTCGTAGAGTTTATAGAATTTATTAGATCACCGATCGTAATTGCCATCTTTTCCCTGATAGCATTCTTTATATTTTCATTCAAGTAATGAATTTCTTCTTCTTGTAACAAGGTATATTGTCTTTCAAACATGATTATTAAAAAACGCGTTCATCAATCGGGAAGCCATGCATAATATTCAATTAAAGAACTGAGAGTTTTTAAAGTATAAGTCCAGTCTTTTTTCTCTTATTGGAAATATATAATCGCCAGATTTGCCGGTTGTTAACGGTATTGTTTTAGAAAATGAATTTGTGCCAGGGTCAGATATTAAAAGTGGGCATTCTTTTAGTGTATTTAATTTTTAACGATTTGAGTTATTTACTCTCTTTTTTCTATGACAATATTTTTATTGAATCATTTGAGAATCTAATAAAAGCGTTGCCAAGACCATCGCTAATAATGCCAAAATTATATTTATTAATTAATTTAATCATATCAACAGCAAAATATACACATAATTAAAACTAAAAGTTTCCCCATTTTTATTTATAATTAAGGAAGCCCTGTATCCAAGGATAGCTGCAGACGATTATTCTTGCAATACCCTCTTGGCCGTTCTATGCATAACAAATTTTCAATTTCCTCACCAATGAATGGTATACTTTTGACATCTTCGAAAAATTTTGAAGTGTACACCTTCTTAAATCTATGATCATACACCTTCTTAAATCTAAGATCATACACCAACTTCTAACTGAATTTGAACCCACATAAACCTTTTATCAAAAATATAAATAATGAGGTACATGTGTATCACATATAAAATATACCATTAAACTCCCCTTGCTGCAGTATTCTACCACTGTGATTTTTAAAGCATCCACACAAAACCCAACGACTTTGGCCACATTTAGATGATCTAGTTCTCGAATCTGAAAAAAAATTAATGCACAGAGGTACGTTTTATACATGTAGTACATTTAAAGTGAACGTGAAAAAAAAACCTTGTGTTTGTTGAAAACGAAAATTTTGATTTGTTCTACATTTTTTGATCATTTCACGACATTGATCTGTTTTTAATGTCACTTGCTTGGCAATTCTTATTTAATATATTTGTAAGATTCGACGTCTGTTGAAGTATAAAGATTAATTCTTACATAGCATATAAGCATATTAACATTTAATTACCAATAATGTCACGAGACCAAAGCATGGTATTTTATGATGAAATATTTTATAAATACTTTTGCAGCTGATCAGTGACATTTTCATACCTGCTTTAATTCTCTGACGTCATAGGTTGAATCCGCCACTTCGTACTTTTTGAGAACTACTGTAGTTCCCTGCAGGAAAATTGTCTGTTTTTGTGACCTACTGTATCTTAGTACATCTTACAGCTACACAGTGTAATAAGATATCGCTTAAAGAATTAAAAAAAATTACCAACATAGTCAATTTGCTAATGTTTTTTGTTGATATGTTACATGTATTATATACAAAATAATCATTTGAAAACACTTGAAATAATTTCACTACTACATGTATATATAAAACTTCTTGACTTTAAACTACCATTAGTTAAGTAAAATTTACTTTTGTTTCATACATGTATCATCAAACTTTAATTAGTAATGTGCCTGAAATATACATCATCTTTTCTCTAATAAACTTATAATTAATAATAAAAGTTAATCAAATTTAAATTCTTCATTAGAATAATCGTCACCTTATACATTGCTGTAGAGACTAGACATCTGTCTATGTTGTGTTGTTCTGAACGAAGTGATATCTGCAAGAATTATTGATGTAAAAAACAAATGGAAAAAAATTGTAGATCACTTCACAATATCCTTAATATTGATAGTGTTTAGGAAATTTTTTTCCCATACTGAAGCATAAAATGATAGGGCATTTGATACCCCTAAACCAATTGATATAAATTTAATTTAATTTAAGAAAAAGAAATATTTCGTACTACTTACTTGAATTTCATCGATTTTTAAATAAAGAAGGTAATGGTAATTACATATAGGAATAAAACACTATTTTATTGTGCCAAATTGTATATTTTACATCCCTTGAGACAATTTACCTAATAATAAATTTATCGCATGCTTAACAGTTATATAAAAACGCCCGCGTGACGCAGTGGTTAGAGCGTCTGCTCTAGAGTCGCGGAGTAAGGAATTGATCCTTACGTCCCACTGTGGGACGTGGAGACCGGTCCTTCGGATGAGACCGTATAAACCGAGGTCCCGTGTCGCGGTAGGTGCTCCCTCACTGCTCAATGGCCCTAAGTGCCGAGTATAGGTAAAAAAAATAGCAGCTGTCCACCAAGTGGTGGTGTCTCAATATGAGACAAAAATTCTCGAGAGGGACGTTAAACAACAAAGAAAAAATAGTTACATAAAGGTATGACAACTTGACGTAAAGTCTCCCAATCATTTTAAAACTATTTATTTATAGATAAAGTTTACTTGTTTTTTTTACATGAAGGCGATTTTTGTGTGTGTGTGTGTGTGTTTATATTTATTTTTGTAAAAACCAGCTAAAAACCAGCTCAGAAATGTCATATGAGGGGCAGTTTTGTTCTAGAAGTAATTTATTAACTAAAATGTCAATCAGTAGTAAACTTGTTCTGAAATATCACGATTTAATTTCGATAAACATATTCTTTTACATTTATTATCATACATGTATGTAAGTTAACAACAAAAAATCTTGATCAGTATACATGTACTACATAAAATTGTCAATTTAATTCCAGAGGATTGTCAAGGCAAATAGCTTTTTAAAAGTTTTGTTGTGCAAATTGACTTAAAAGTACATCATAAATATTTTTTTTTTTAAATCTTACCTTTGACATTGAAAAACCTGATTTTTTGGTGGAAAGTATATCGCTTTCTTTTATTCTCCACACACTCTCACTAGCTTTTCTTTTGATTCGTCTGGTGTAAAGGAAATAAAAGTGAGCTGACTTATTAGGTAAGAACACGTTTCTTTAAAACGTTTTCAAGATGTTGAAGAAATAAAACTACCTAAAAAGCTTATCACAAATAACATATTTTCAAAACTGCAACTGTGTGTGTGTGTGTGTGTGTTGGAAACTGTTACAGAATTTTTTGAAGAGTAGCAACAAAATTTATTAGTTTTAGAGTGTTTACTGAAGATTATACTTGGACTTGTCATAAATCATCAAAATATCTGTTATATTTTTTGATTTAATTTGTTATAATCTGATGAACTGTGGCAAAAACGTGATTTATACACTACAGCAATTGGTTAACCGTACGTTACAACAAATCTTGGAATGATGATGCTGAGAAATACAACTAGAGCCAGGATACTTCCCATGGTTCCCACCACGATCTCTAGAGTCTCCATCTTTTCCAGGTCTGCAAGGAAGAGAAGGAGGTGTACATATGTAACAAATTAAAACAACCAAACCTAAACAAAATTAAATTAAGAGGCCAAAGGCTCACATCGCTCAACTGACTTACTAATGATCCTGTTGTTCTAACAAAGCAGATTTCTCCCTTTATATATATCTACATAAAACTTTGATCATATATTGTTACCCAACCCTACCCCAGGGTTCAGGAATGGAACAAATTTGAAACTACACGAGCTGCAGTTGCCATATAAATATGACTAACAGGACATTGCTGTTCTTAAGTTGGAGATTTAAAAAAAAATCCTGCATATTCCTATGTAAAACCGGGGGTCATGATTTGTAGAAACTTGAATCTACACTACATAAGGATGCTTCCATAAAATTAAGACTAACCATTGGTTTCCTGTTGTTAAGATGATTTTTTAAAGAACCTTCTTTCTATTCTTATGTAAACCACAGGGGCTCGTCACGATTAATTTGTCTTCTTTCTGTTTGACCACTCCTACACTATGAAAAACACAAGGGAGGAATCGAAAAAGGAAATTAAAAAAAAAGAAAATGTCTTTCGACAGTCTGCCATAAGAGTTCTTCCTTTCATGTACCTTCTCGCACTGCCCTTCCCATTGTCAGCTCTGTGACGATTAGTGTTTTGACGACAGTCTGAAGGTTGTTTCCATTATGCATGGGGAAACTCATTTCCTGGTTAGATCTACTCTCAGATCCCAGCTTGTTCTCTGTCTAGCAACGATATTGCTTTTGTTTGCTTGGCTGTTGACTCCCAAACTCTCGTGAAATGCATTTGTTTCACTTCTTTGGGCGTGTTCCCTCCTATCCACTTCCTGCACATTTACCAAGTAACACAATACCTTGTGCTGTTTCTATCTGTATCTCCATTGAGAAAGCGCTATTTTGCATCCTAAAAGCATTTTAGCTTCATCAACATTATTTATCAGAAGCTTCAGAAGTCTGCGTAAGATGTTCCTACAAGTCGCTGCTGGCACATCCACACTTTGTACTTCCCCGATAATCCACCGACTACCGTCAAGTTTCTTAAGTCACATCTGGACTTGCCTTTTGATATCTTTAACTCTGTTCCTGCCTGTGAGGAATCATCAATCCATCTCCCCCAAGCAATTGATTATATTGTCCACTATACGGTGGGGACTACCTCATGCATCCTTACATAACTATGAATATCAATACGTCTCTTTTTCAGCACATCTTGAACTCTTCAACTTAAATTTCATGCCTTTGCAGGAAACCTTAACATCTAATGCAGACAGCACCTAATCTAGCTTGTGTGTTAGTCAATGTTCACACAGTGAAGTTATGGATGAGACTTCTAGTCAATGGATAGTATATTTCAGACTTCATCTTTGAGCCTCTTCTCTCTCGTCCTGGTCATTGTAATTTTACTTAACCCCAAGACGAACAAAATTATAGAGATGGTGCATCCATTAACTTTCCATTTTTTGACCTACTGCCAGGAATATGGTGAACTCCTCCACAATAATATGGGTCCGTACCTGTCCATATTAGCATTTGGCAATCTCGGACCTTCTCTAGTATACAGGAGCTCTAATGCAGCCCCAATACGCCTATGTGGGACCCACAGACTCACCATACTACAGCAAAGTTTTTAACTTCTTTGGCTATATGCCCTACACGACAATAAACCGGGGGTATGCCTGCCTTTTTGATTTTCATACTTCTATATACCCTTTTTCCAATATAAGTATGTACATTTATTAGTAAACTCTCTTGGCTAATGCTGGCAGGAAACTCTCCTTCTTCTCGAAACATCCTTCTTCTCTCCCTCAATGCTGGCTTTTTGAAATCCATCGATATCTGTGAAAGATGTACATATATTTCCTGTTTACAGGGCCCTAGATCTTTCTTCCTTTGTGGATCTGGATGTGTTGTACGCAAGTATACTTCAGCCTATTCCTTGGGAGATTGGAGTTTCATTGACTGACCTTTCTTAACCCAGAAACTCTCTCGTAAAGTTGAATGGACCCTTCAAAAACTCTGCCATGTGTATGTCTAGGATCTAAATGTATGTCCTGAATTTTGAAAGATCTGGCCCGATGTCATCTGTCAAGATTACTGTCCCTGACTTTTCCCAGTCATTTGATAACCTTCTCTGTCATCAGCCCTCCTAATCTGTCTATTCAACACATTCAGTTCTTGGAGAAACACCAATATTCCTTTGGAGTCTGTTAGGGGTCTGGCTTGTAATCTGCTTCTTAACCTTCCCTTTCTCAAAACACTCTGTCTTTTTTCCACAATGCTGGTTAATGCTTCAATCATCCTTCCACCTTTCCTTTGCTATGTTTCTTAAGGATCTTGCTGACATTTTCATCAAAGCTGCTTTACGCTCCTTTCAGCCGCAATATCTGATATCCTAGGTTTCTATGTCAGTTATTTTTTACTTCTGTGGATCCCTGATTGGCTTGTTTGTGAAATGAGCTTCTCCAACATTTCCCCGAGGGTGTTTTGGAATGAATGACACGGAGAGGCTTTAGACTCCCTGGGTTGTCTACGGCCGAGGATCTTCCTGTATTTATATATGTACCAGCAAGTACTGTGTGTTGTGCCTGGGTCGGGTCTACTTATTACAATATTAGCTTTTTGTCTGGTGTTTCTCAGTTCTTTGTAGTCTGACAATTTTGTCCTGTTCCAGCTTCAACTCTGTTTCCTCAATATAATTGAATGGCAATATCTTTCTCCTAGTCCTTGGGTCATTTCTAATCGTTTCCATTCGATCTGTCTGTTCGTGCCTGTTACCTCATCTCTCTCGGGACGTTCTACAGGTAAGAGGTCTCCCTACATTTATTTCAAAGTTTATGAAAAGGGGGGTGGTTGTCATGGACGCCTACATTACACATTCGAGGTTGTTTTTCTGCTTGGCGGAAAGGCCGGAGAAGTTTCGATTGCTATATACATGCACCAGTACACGTGCAACGCAACGAGTACGGACTGAGGTAAATTGTATTTATACTACAATTAAATAAGTTGGGATCAAGTGTGAATTGATTTGGAAAAGGGTTTCCCCAACCAAATACTGATTGGTAATGACTTTATAACATAAAATACTTATATAAGAGGTCCATGGGCCGCTGACTCAGCTGAGCATTTTACATACGTCATATATACATATATATAGATATAAATATATTTTGTGTAAATTGTGGAGTTATTGTACCTTCTTCCCTGGTTACCCAAATAGGAAGGAAAGCATATTTAGAGGCAAACACCTATACATGTATATGGGTGTTACTGTCTTGTGACAGCATCTAGTTATTTATAAAGTATAAGATATTTAAAATAAGTTTTATTTATTTACGGTTTTCACAAAATTCGCCCAGGAATCCACAGTGTGGTGTGTCCGAAGGTGGTCCCAGTCCATCAGGCCATTGTATTTTATAGAGCGAATCCTCTCGAAATACTCCATCTTCGGTAAAGAAATAGCCAACAGTCTGAAACCAAAGAACAATTTTCACTTGGAAATTAAGAAAACAGGGTCAATAAAAGAGCTTATGGACCAATGGGTTTATTCAATTAAATGTCTTAGTTAAATTCACGCAAGAACAAATAGTAAACAATGATGCCCCATATGGCAGCTCATGCCTAAGTTTCTCAAATGCCAAGGTCAAGAGATCAAAATTGTTTATACCCAAAGAAAGATCTTGTCACAAACATTACACATGTGAAATGTGAAAGCCCTAGCACCAATTGTCCAGATGTTACGGCCATGGTTAAAGTTTTCAAAAATAGGTAAAACTCCAACTAAGCGTGAAACGTTTACTGAATTTTGTAAACGTTTAAACGAACAGCAGTAAATGAAACGTTACCGTTTAAATGGGAGAATATTTTGTGTTGAATTTTTATGGTTACTTACTCATGAAACACTAATTTAATACTCTATTCTTTCATTATAATGTAAGTATGAGTTGTTATAACTATTTATTGGTTTTTTAGGACGAAAGAATATGAAGCGCATAAAACTCATTCACTTTCTAAACCGTCACCCAATATTGCATTAATAGTTTGTTTGGCTACATACCAGACGTAGAAAAAGCATTGTCAAATTAAACTTGCAGAGATGGCTCTTTTAATCCTGAATTAAGTATACCGCGGTCTGTTGACTGTATTGAAACACTTTTCAAAGACTGGTGAAAACGTACGCATTATATTTATTTAATCAAAGTAAATCAAGTTTTGTACTTTGAAAAATAAAGTAAAATCATAATACATCGTTAGTATTCGCTACTCGGAAATCGGAATTAAATATGTTACACAGTATTTGGTTTTAGATAGTTTAGTTTAATAACATGTTTCCGGTATCGATTAAAACAGAAAACAATTATTTTCTTTTGGTAAATATGAAATAAAACAACTTGTTTGTATTTGTCTTTTATTACTTCTGTTAGACATTGATAATGACCTTCGTGTAAACGTTTACTCAATTCGTAAACGTTTAGAGCATTTAATCGAAACGTCGCCGTTTACACGTGTAATCGTTTCGCCCTTAACTCCAACATCAAGGTTAAAATTGTTGGTACCCAAGGGAAAGTATTGTCACAAAGAAAACACAATCGTGTGAAATATGAAAGCCCTAGCCCCTATTGTTCAAAAGGCCAAGGATAAAGCTCTTCAAAAGTAGGTCAACCCCAAGGTCAAAATTGTTGGTACCCAGGGAAGGTCTTGTTGCAAGAAATACACCTGTGAAATATCAAAGCCCCAGCACCAACCATTCAAAAATTATGGGCAAGGTTTAAGTTTTTCAAAAGTAGGTAAAACGCCAAGGTCAAAGGATTAATATTGTTGCTACCCAAGGGAAGGAGGTCTTGCCACAAAAAATACACCTGTGAAATATCAAAGCTCTAGCACCAACCGACCAGAAGTTATAATCAAGTTTAAAGTTTTTCTAGAACAGGTCAATTTCCAAGGTCAAAATTGTTGGTACGGAAGGGAAGGAATACACCTGTGAAATAGCAAAGCCCTGGCTCCAACTGTTCAAAAGTTATGGCCAAGGTTCAAGTTTTTTTTTAAGTAGGTAAAACTGAAAGGTCAAGGTCGAAGGGTAAAATTGTTACTGTAGTACACAATGGAAGGTTTTGCCACTATAAGTGGCAAAACCCTCCATGTGACATGAAATACACTTGTGTAATATTAAATCTCTAGCTTCAACTGTTCAAAAGTTATGACCAAGGTATTTTTTTTAAAGTATGTCAAACTCCAAGGTCAAAAACATTTTTACCCAAGGAAAGATCTTGTCATATGAAATACACCTGTGATGTGTGAAAGCCCTAGCTCTATCCGTTCAAGTTAGGGTCAAGGTTAAAGTGTGGTAAAATTTTGCAAAAGTGTGTCAAACTCCAAGGCCAAGAGGTCAAATTTGTGGTACCCAAAAAGAAGTCTTGTCACAAGGAATACACATGTGAAATATGAAAGCCATAGCTCCAACCAATCAAAAGTTATGGGCAAGGTTAAAATTTTTTGCGGGCAAACGGACAACGGACAGAGAAAAACCAGAAGTCTCTGATGAGACTGTAGCTCTACTGGTCTGTATAACAAAAGAAAAGTAGCACTTGGATTTGAAACATTGCAACATGCAACAATAAATAGAATTATGTATCTTAATGTAGTCTACTTTTGTGACAAGTTATATTGAAATCAAATGAAAACTAGAAGTAGTAGTATTTTGAAAGTATTTCACGGAAATTTCTATTTTTAGTACCGGTAACCATGACAACACCATTCACCCAAATAAAAACCAGAAGTCTCTGATGAGACTGTAGCTCTACTGGTCTGTTTGTATAACAAAAGAAAAGTAGTACTTGGATTTGAAACATTGCAACATGCAACAATAAATAGAATTATGTATCTTAATGTAGTCTACTTCTGTGCCAAGTTATACTGAAATCAAATGAAAACTGTAGGAGGAGTAGCGTTTTGAAAGTATTTCAGGGAAATTTCTATTTTTAGTAACCATGACAACACCATTCACCCAAATAAAAAAAAACAGAAATACATATTATGTATCGTAGTGTATTCTAACTGTGTGCCAAATTAGATTGAAATCAGACCAAAATTGTAGGAGGAGTAACGTTTAATGGGAATTTCACAAAAATTTCTATTTTAAGTAACCATGGCAACACTGTTCATCGAATTCAAAAACCAATGCAATAAATTATGTATCTTAGTATAGTCTTCTTGTATGCCTAATTATATTAAAAGCAGACTAAAACTGTAGCAGGAGTAGTGTTTTAAAGGAATTTCACAGAAATTTCTATTTTTAGTAACCATGGCAACACCGTCCATTGAATTCAAAAACCGATGCAACAAATTATGTATCTTAGTGTAATCTACTTGTAAGCCAAGTTATATTGAAATCGGACCAAAACTGTAGGAGGAGTAGCGTTTTAAAGGAATTTCACAGAAATTTCTATTTTTAGTAACCATGACAACACCGTCCATCAAAATCAAAAACTGATGCACTAAATTATGTATCTTAGTGTAGTCTACTTGTGTGCCAAGTTATATTGAAATCGGACCAAAACTGTAGGAGGAGTAGCGTTTTAAAGGAATTTCACAGAAATTTCTATTTTTAGTAACCATGGCAACACCCTCCATTGAAATCAAAAAACCGATGCACTAAATTATGTATCTTAGTGTAGTCTACTTGTGTGCCAAGTTATATTGAAATCGGACCAAAACTGTAGGAGGAGTAGCATTTTAAAGGAATTTCACAGAAATTTCTATTTTTAGTAACCATGGCAACACCGTCCATTGAAATCAAAAAACCGATGCACTAAATTATGTATCTTAGTGTAGTCTACTTGTGTGCCAAGTTATATTGAAATTGGACCAAAACTGTAGGAGGAGTAGGATTTTAAAGGAATTTCACAGAAATTTCTATTTTTAGTAACCATGACAACACCCTCCATCAAAATCAAAAACCGATGTACTAAATTATGTATCTTAGTGTGTCTACTTGTGTGCCAAGTTATATTGAAATCGGACCAAAACTGTAGGAGGAGTAGCGTTTTAAAGGAATTTCACAGAAATTTCTATTTTTAGTAACCATGGCAACACCGTCCATTGAAATCAAAAACCGATGCACTAAATTATGTATCTTAGTGTAGTCTACTTGTGTGCCAAGTTATATTGAAATCAGACCAAAACTGTAGGAGGAGTAGCGTTTTAAAGGAATTTCACAGAAATTTCTATTTTTAGTAACCATGGCAACATCGTCCATTGAAATCAAAAACCGATTCACTAAATTATGTATCTTAGTGTCCATTGAAATCAAAAACCAATTCACTAAATTATGTATCTTAGTGTAGTCTACTTGTGTGCAAAGTTATATTGAAATCAGACCAAAACTGTAGGAGGAGTAGCGTTTTAAAGGAATTTCACAGAAATTTCTATTTTTAGTAACCATGGCAACACCGTCCATTGAAATCAAAAACCAATTCACTAAATTATGTATCTTAGTGTAGTCTACTTGTGTGCCAAGTTATATTGAAATCTGACCAAAACTGTAGGAGGAGTAGCGTTTTAAAGGAATTTCACAGAAATTTCTATTTTTAGTAACCATGGCAACACCGTCCATCGAAATCAAAAAAACTTGTGTGCCAAGTTATATTGAAATCGGACCAAAACTGTAGGAGGAGTAGCATTTTAAAGGAATTTCACAGAAATTTCTATTTTTAGTAACCATGACAACACCCTCCATCAAAATCAAAAACCGATGTACTAAATTATGTATCTTAGTGTGTCTACTTGTGTGCCAAGTTATATTGAAATCGGACCAAAACTGTAGGTGGAGTAGCGTTTTAAAGGAATTTCACAGAAATTTCTATTTTTAGTAACCATGGCAACATCGTCCATTGAAATCAAAAACCGATTCACTAAATTATGTATCTTAGTGTAGTCTACTTGTGTGCCAAGTTATATTGAAATCGGACCAAAACTGTAGGAGGAGTAGCGTTTTAAAGGAATTTCACAGAAATTTCTATTTTTAGTAACCATGGCAACACCGTCCATCGAAATCAAAAACCGATGCACTAAATTATGTATCTTAGTGTAGTCTACTTGTGTGCCAAGTTATATTGAAATCGGACCAAAACTGTAGGAGGAGTAGCATTTTGAATAATTGTTTACAGACAGACGGACAGACAGACAGACAGACAGACAGACAGACGGACGGACGGACGACGGACACCTTACTATCGCATAAGCTCTTCTGGTCTCTGACCAGTAGAGCTAAAAAAACAGAAATACATATTATGTATCGTAGTGTATTCTAACTGTGTGCCAAATTAGATTGAAATCAGACCAAAATTGTAGGAGGAGTAACGGTATAAAGGAATTTCACAGACATTTCTATTTTAAGTAACCATGGCAACACTGTTCATCGAATTCAAAAACCAATGCAATAAATTATGTATCTTAGTATAGTCTTCTTGTA